CCACGACGAGGACGACGACGACGACGACGACGACGACGACGACTAACTACGACTACGACTACATCCCCGGGCCGAGAGCTTCGAGCTACAAGTGTACTGTCTAACATACAAGGTCTTGCGGAGTAGCGGAGTGCCTCGAGTGTCGTTTACCCTACGCAGGCTAGCGGGGTGATTTCTACCCCGTTTGAAAAATGTAACACTTTTTAGTTCCGGAGGAGGCCCCAGGGCTCACTTGTGTTAGGCGTCTAGGGGCAAGAGGGTGGGGGCAGGGGTCAACTACCTTGTTGAAGCTAGTGGGTCGAACTATTGGCCCGGCGAAGTACTACTTCTTCTTCTGCGAGTACGACTGCGACTCCACCGCCGCGGCCACATCACATGCGAACTCTATGTAAACTTGCAAACTCGTTCATGAGCATAAGTCATAAGTGTCATGACGGAATGCTTGTTCACCTCGACCATCCTCGACCGAGACTCCCCCGCACGAGTCCTTGTCGAAATTGCCATCTGGTGCCATACAGAAGTACGGCTTGGGAAGTGGCTTTGTGCCAAGGACCTGGGCCGGGGTTCCAGAAGCCGAGTTTCCCAAACTGGCGACAGGTTACAACTGCATGCCAGTGGTGAATGTTGACCCATTGTGGCGTGTCTTTCCAGCTCAGACTCTTGCCAGCAGTGTCAGGAAGCAGAGGGTCCAACCTCGGAAGAGCGATGTTGAGATGGAGACAAACCCCCATTCCTTACAGTCCGTAACCTCGACCGAAACCAATTCGACCACCGAGCGATTCCCACATCTTAAGGGGCGTTCTCAAGTGACTGGAAGTGCACGACACGTCGGATCTTTGGGCAAGGAGCCAATGACCATGTACGGCTTCCTTCGGTACCCCAAGATCCTGAGCCATTGCCGCAGGGCATTTTGTCCGTCGAGACTCAAACAAACCCTCGCTTCAGCAGGCACTTGACGCCATGGCGCGGGAAGCAGTCGTTTAAGAAGCCTCGGTCCGTGAATCCGGGGCATTTTGGTGCACAGCCAGCGAGCCGAATGCAGGTTGAAGCCTGGTAGTAAGCCGAGGACCGAAGAAGAGCTTGAAGCTCCATGGCATGGTGGTGACGGTCTTGGCCCCAGAACTCCGAGGCTCTCTTAGGCTCCCCGGTTGACTCCAAGGCCCCCGGCCGCCGCAGTGGCATAGACATAGCCCGGAACATTGAGAAAGCCTCAAAGGGCTTAAAGCTTTGTGGCCCTCCTACTCCTGGCTCAAGCTCGACAAGGCAGATGCCAGAAACAGCCAAGCTTCCCAGGAAGAAGCCATAGATTGTGGCTGGCAAGCCGCCGTAGATGATACCAACGGCAAAATACCTGGGGTGAGAGCAATGACACGACGAATCTGTCGTCTCTACACCCCTGTAACCTGGCATCCAGTTGACTTCCAGGATTCCAGTCCGCGGTGCTGGAGCAGGAAGCCGATGTTGCGGAACTCATAGATATTCACCTGCTTTCACAAAGTGGCGCTTCAGCTGCAATGAGCCAGTCCCTCCGAATGAACCTGCTCCCCGCTCGCAAGGGCACCGTTGTTGGGTGCCTGCAACGGGTAGAGGGAAAGGCACAAGGGCAGCCGGCTAATGCTACCGGGGAAGTCAATCCTGTGTGTTCGGAAAAACAGCCCATTGGTTTGTTTCGATAGCTGTGTCTCGACCCGTGGGATCCGCAACAGGCTTGCGGAAAGGAATTAGTAAGTAGTTTGATAATAAGGAGAACACCAAAGCCCAACGCCTGCGGCCACCGCAGAGAAACACGGTTTACTGCCAGTTACCAAGAGTTCAGGGCCTCCTCTGCCCCAACCATCTCTGGCTTCACGCCGTCCTGGTCGTCACAAGCGTCGCGAGTCTCTATGCTCCAGATTTCCGACTTTGGGGCTCGAAGTGTCAAACCCCCCGTGCCAAACAGCAAGACTGAAATCTGCGAAGGTTGAACCGGATTTCGTGCTCTGCGGATTGGCACCAAGCTGCAATTCGAGCAGAAGCCCAAGGTTACACAAACGTTCGCTCGCCTGCGTCCGGACTGCCATCCAAGCGGCTACATCTTTCATGCACAGATCTTTTTCTGGATTCGCGTTCTTGCCGTCTTCGTCCTGTGCTGCATGCACAGAAAGATGTCAGAGGGGCGTGGGGGATTGCAAGAATTTGATCTGACATCCGATCTGACGCATGTGAGGAATCGCAACGAAAGGTGCCGGTCTTGCACCACACAACCTGTAGAAGAGCGAGGCAAACCGCTTGCATCGCGCCTTCGTAGCCTCTGATTGCACCACAGCGCTGTCGAGCACAGAGGCGAAGTCGGCATTGGGACCCCCCTGAGCGTCTCTCAAGTGCCCTTTGTCTGAACAAGATTTCGCCTGTGCATGCGCAGATGTCAATCAAAAAAGACACCAATAGCTACTGCTCGCTTGGAAGATGCCTTGGCGAGCATCGTCGCCCTGAGTCCTGCCAAGCCAAAGCAATTGATTCTCCAGTTGCGGCGACGCGGCCGGAAAAACCCAATCAAGCGATCCCTCACCAGACAAGGCAAAGCCAGAACATGGACGAGCAGTGCCAACAATCTGTTGCTCTCAACCTGGTCCTTGTAGGAGGTCAGGTGTCTATTTGATTCTTGATTTCTTGGGCATGCAAATGGCTGCAACAAAGCACGTGTATACGAGGCTCAGCAATCTCATGCGAAATGCTGCGACAAGTCCTCCGCCGCTCTTCAACCCAAAGCAACTTGCGCCGCGAAGCGAGGCAGAAGGCCTGGATGGAGTCCACTTCGCTCGCATCCAGCTCCGCACAGCTGGGCCTGATGAGGACCATAGCAAAGCCGATCTCATCTCTCACTTGCGCAACAGGGGAACAGAGCGTCGCCATGTCTCTGGGAGCACGGCAGCGGCGAACCGGGAGACCTGGGAGTCGGCGGACAGGACAGCCTGAACTCCTCAAAGCGGCGTAGACGGAGCCATAGGAATAAAGCAGTCTGAATCTGAAGTCATGGGAGCTCGGAATGGTCAGAAGATCTCGCTGGCAGGTCATACGCATGGCATGCGCGAGTCCTTTGGCTGCGTCAGCTTGGCATGGCTCTGCACACGCCCGGCGTTGCCCAGGTCTGTTGCATGGAGAGCCTTCGAGGGCTTGCGCAGAAAATGCAACACAAGCACAGCTGACTTACCGATGACTCTAAAGCTACTGGTAGCGCTTTCTACGCCGTAATACAATCCTGCAAGGCAGGTGCAACACGAACCGCAAGCTCGTCCTCGAGGTGTTATTGGCTTGAAGTTCGACCACCGATTACACCGTCAGGGTCTTGCATTCCCGGGCACGACCGCATTTTAATCTTCGCAACTGTCAGTACGATTTTCTGGCAGCCTGCATCTACCCGGGTGCGACTGGTCTCGGGCTCCACTCCGGGTGTGAGGATTGGGTTCTCGTGAAAGCTTGAGACCATCATTGAAAGCCGTGACGACCTGCAATTTCTAAAGATCCGCACTAAGCCGCACTAATCTATGTACTCCCAGCTTCTCGCTTCCTTTGCCCATCTGGAACCGATCTGGAAAAGTCAACGTTAAGTGGTCCGACTCGGGCTGTGGGCCAGAGCTCGTCGGGCAGAATGCCTTCAGACATCACTCAGGTGAGACATGTGGGTGCAAAAGCTTGCGACCCCTCCGTGGAGAGGGTGAAACGATGCGAAATCCACACGGCAGTGGTAGTGATGAGCTTCAGATGTTTTCCCGTAAGTTCTTGACTCCAGACGCGCATGCTAGCTAGACGCACACTCGGGCAACAGAGTGAATCCGGCTCACTCAGCGTATAAGCGCAGTGCTGTTCGCACCTAGATGCAACTTGGGAGGTAGGCTTGCAGACATGAGGTCACGACGAGTGTGCGAAATTGCGAAGCTCAGCTACGCGCTCTCGCCGGGCACCAGCGCATGCCGGAAGCTGCGGTAAGCTGCCGACCTGGACGTTCGCCACAGGTGCTCTACGAAGACAAGACCATCTCACTCGGTGACATGCTGCTTTTTGCACGATGCCATGCCTGCGACACGGGGACTTTGCATTCTGAACAACGGACTCTACGGACGAGCTACCGTTCTCGACACACATCCAGTGTCGCGACAAATACAGCTGGGCAGACTGTGAGCAATGTACTCAATCAGCACTAAAACTCGCCATGCCCAGCCGCACATCTGTACAGTGATCGATGGCTGGGTCACACCAGAAATCTCAGCTCAGACCGTGATCTCGC